CTGTTGTACTTAACATATCAAAGTGTGTGCTTCTTAAGAGAGCATCACTATCTAGCATTAGCATTCAGAAGCCATGGTAACAGGTAGAAAAGCCTGTAGTAGAAATGTGTTCAATTGTTGGTTCTTTGTGCATTGATGCTGGTTGGGTATCACCCCTGTTACAAGAAGAGAAAACGCTTTCAGCTGTTAGGCAGAAGACCCGACTTTCCACTGTCTTGCACTTCTCTTTTTCCACAAATGAAATCTGAATATCTGCTTCTCTGATTTGTTATACTTTTATACCATATTGTACATAAAACTTTGGCCAGATCTAAGATTTGTAAAATGTACAGGGCAGTAGAAGAGTTGGATTTTTCCCATTTCAGGAAAATATTCAAGTTTTTAGCTTTGATACATCACAACTTCAACTATCTCATTTATATAAAAGAGAATAAAATATTTTTCTTAATTTATGTAGCTCAAATTGATTGTACTTTTCCTTGCTGAACCACAAGCCTTAATTTGTGCATGTGAAGTTACTGTGTGTGATGCAACACTGACACATTAGAGGGACTGCAGTGCAAATTGCCATTAAGTTTGCCAACCTCCTTCAGGAAAAACAACTTTAGAAATTTTGTTATAGTTTCCTCCAACAGTGAAAAAATTATCCAGGCCTCAGGGAGCCTCAGGTACTTACAAGGCACAAGCTCCCATATGAAAGACTTTAACTTCTTGATCTCGCTGGATTTCAAACTTATTTTCATGTTTTGCACGTGTACCTTATTCTTTCAGACACTGGCATAGACCATCAGGCTCTCCTTAAGCAGTTTGAGCACCTGAACCATCAGAATCCTGACACCTTCGAACCTAAAGACTTAGATATGCTGATCAAAGCAGTGAGTGCCAGATATGAACTACTATGGGGGATTTGGGGTATTATTTATTATGCTTTTTTCCTCTGGTAAAGGCAAGTCCTTTCCTGTATACCACTTTTTATAAATGACATGCAGTTTTCATTTTCAGAGAAAAGTCAGTTGTCTCCATGCACACTGGAAAACTGTTGTCAGTATGTATTATGCTAAAGAGCCCATAAATGTTGGGATGTCATCTTATCATATGCCAGTACAAGGAACTTTGGGAATAAAATACACCTTTCTGGAAGTCTTTAAATTAAATACGGTTTAGATAGAGGTACACTTTTTTCCAAGTGTATTTTCTGATTTCTATTTCTAGATGATACAGGAGTCTCACAGAATCACATAAGTAATCAACCTTAACCTACCCATATGAATTTTGGGTTCTATTATATAGATGTCAAGCTGCAAAACCACAGCAGAGTAGAATTTAAGATACCAGTATTACAAATTGCTTACACTGGACGTGGCATTCAGTGTCTGTTTAGCAGATTCATTATCAGTCACAGGTGTGGGTTTTTTTCAGGGCCTGTTTTTTAAGGGATGTAGTTAAGCACTGCATGGCTTTTTTTTCAACTGCTAGAGAAAAATACACTTCCCAAAGGGAAAAATTACTTTGATCTCAGCTATGCTTTAGAGAACACTGCATGCCCAAAATGAGAATTTGACAGATTTTACATTTTCAAAATAAATTGAAAGGTAATTTATATTTCTAGCTTCCTGTAATTTTTGTGTAATTTTTTTTACCCTTGGAAAATTTTATCTCCATTTTCTGTAAAATTATTTTTTATAGAGATATAATTTTTCTTCCCATTTCTGAGCACCACTTCTGGGAAAATTCTGGTTGGCTAGGAGATGCATATCCTCAACAGGGCAGTTCTTCCTTTTATTATATATTTTATTGTTTTGTCTCTTCATTTCTCAGCCAAGATATTGACAGAGTGTAATGGGTATTTTAAGGGGTCTTTGGTTTGGAATTGTTTTTTTAAAAGGTACAGTGAAAACTAAGATGTAAATCATGGAGAGAAAATATGAGGTGTAAACATGTACTTTGAAAAGCACTACCAAAAAATCATTTGGCTTGTGTGAAAATGACATAACTTTAAACTCTATACAATATTTGTTAGAAATTCCTCCCTCACTCTCACCCTTTCTCTCCATATAATTGTTTTATTTTTTATTTAATCTGCATTAAGTTACTGCAAACTAACCCCCACTATTAATGAATGCACTTTTTTCATTAAACTGTGGGATAAACTACAAATGTTCTCAGTCTGAAGTAATCGAGGAGTTAATGGTACTATTAGTGTGGGACTTATTTAACTTAATTTATTACTAACTGATGAGAAAGGACACCTTTCTGCCTTTATAAAGTACTGTGCAATTCCAAGAATTGTCTAGCAGTTGAAGCCTTGTAAATTAATTTCTGTGAAAATAACAGAGCAGGGATGTTTTTGCATCACTGTCATGTGAAAGGACCCCTCCCAGGTAGACTACCCTATATTTAAAAGGAGAATGGCAGAATGGCCAGCCTTGCCCATGGAGCTGAACAATACAGTGTTTAATGCCAGAGGTGTTACATAATCATGTGGCTTAATCATATGTCTGCATATATCTGTATTTTTAGGCTACAAGTGACCTGGAAAACTATGATAAGACCCGCCATGAGGAGTTTAAGAAATATGAGATGATGAAAGAACATGAGAGGAGAGAGTATTTAAAAACATTGGATGAAGAAAAGAGGAAGCGAGAAGAATCCAAATTTGAGGAGATGAAGAAAAAACACGGAGATCACCCTAAAGTTCACCATCCTGTAAGGCCATAGCCTGTTTTTATGTGACTGAGTGGAAGCCTTCCTTTCTAGAGAGAAAAAGCTAACACAGAGAAGGGTGTATCTTGTTTGTTCTCAGCATCTGCCTCTTATCACTGACATGGGAGCAGAGCGTGGGCACAGTGCTGAGAGCATTACAAACCCCACTATGTAAACCCCCATTTTTTCTGTACAGGTATGCTATTTTCTGGCAGAATTCTTGTTTACAAAGATGCTGAAACTCATGAGGAATAAGCCAGAACAGTATTAAAAACTGTAGGGATGCCTTCATGGTGTGCCTGGCCTGCAAGGAACTGCATCACAGGACTGTTTGCTCTATAAAAGGCAAATTAATATAACTTCCTTCAGCTGCTGTTTCTAGATGAGTCTGTGAAGCCATGACTGATTATTACAGGTGCTCCTTTCCACAGAATATGCATTTCTTTGACTCTCTCTCTTTCCCTGGGCCTTTTTGTCTAATAAATGTATTAGACCTGACCAAAAGGGAATTAAAGAAAATTCCATTGATTCCATTTGCCATGTGACTAATCAGCAAACAAAGAAACCGTAATGCAAAGGTAATGCAGAAAAATTACACTAAATTGTCTTTTGAATAGTTTTTCTTTAACCAATCTATAGGGAAGCAAAGATCAACTGAAAGAGGTGTGGGAAGAAGCAGATGGACTAGATCCTAATGAATTTGACCCCAAAACATTTTTCAAATTGCACGGTAAGAGGTTTAGTTTTAATTTAATGAACAATTGAAGTTACTTTCTTTTACATTCTGCTGAGGACAAGTTTATCATACGCTAGGATGAAGTCTTATACCTCAAGTAATTTGGATGAGTCTGAATAGTATAGAGGAGAAAATATTTGTTCTTGTTTGTAAGTTTCCTGTAAAGTTTTAAATGGAGCTTAAAATTTGAAAACAGAGTTTTGTTTAACTACTCCTAAAATCCTACAGCCAAATACCAGGAGTGATTACTCAGGGAAGTATGGGTACTTGGAGGGCTGTCCATATCTATAACTTTGCTTGCACACTACATACTAGGAATAAATCCTCAGAGGTGTGTCTGTGGTGGGGGAAAACCTGCTTTCTCATCATCTCTGCAGATAAATACCAGACACCTCTAATCTTCGGAACAGCCACAGACGTGCCAAGCCTCATCAGAAGAGGTTTATCAAGATTCCCTTGATAAAACAAAAACCAAAATGCCCCCTAATCCTGCTGCTACGTTTCTGAGCAATGTGCAGCTAGAAACAATAAGTAGTAGCCGTAGCAGACATGAGGATGCATCTCAGTGGACATTTTCCTTTAAATGTGATTATATCATCATGTAACCTTAAATTCTGATATTGTTAAATGCTTCATCATAAAGTACCCCTAAGTAGATCCTGCCTGGCACTAGGTTGCAAAGGGTTGAACAATACATTTGACTAATCCCAAAGATGATGATTTAGATGAAGAAAAGTGTTGTTGCTTGAGTCTGAGCTTTTATCTTGGTTTATAAAATTTATAAATATGTATTATAGTTATTAAATCTTATTTCTTCTTTCTAGAAAGAGATATTGAAAGAATTTTCTGAAAAGTTTTGTTAGCTTGTTTCTGCAAATCCTACCAAAACACGAGTAGCTGAAACAACCTTTTGCCTTAGAGCTTGGTATTTAAAAAACCTTAGAAGCAGTTAAACAAAAATATTGCATAATACCATCCATTTGAAATAGGCATTCTCTTTCAATTTCTGAGGTAGTATAACAATATTCGGAGTACAATGTAGAATAAAAGATGGATCGTTAGTTATCAAGTATTCTCCTGTCAGCATTTGCTGTCATGAAAAGTCATTTTACAGTTACCTCAAGTGCTGCATATTTATATAGATTTTCTCATAATTTTTTAGGGTTTTTTGGAGAGTCATACTGCCAATTAACAAAGTTTTTCTGCAAAATTTTTTTGCTCCTGAGTCTAATGAGAAATTTAGTTGTTAAATTGCAACAACTTGTTCTCAGTAATATTTTTTGGCAGTTGCACTCTGCACAATCCTGTGGTGACCTATTTCTCTTTGCTAATCTAAGAAGTAGGGATATTGCTCCAGACTTGTCCAACCAACCAAAAATGGCAGTACACTTCAGCCAATGCCTGATAAAAATTTAAAGAGAAAATCAACCTATGTAACCAGTTGCTTGTTAAATGAGGATTTAAACCACATGAGATGTGTGTGCTGATCCTTATTTAACTCAGGAAGGTCTATTACATGTATGACTTTCTGTACCTACTCAACTTGCATTTTTAACACTTCTTTTTGTAGATGTCAATAATGATGGTTTCCTGGATGAGCAAGAATTAGAAGCCCTATTTACTAAAGAGGTAAAAAAAAAAAATTCAGAAGCTTAACTTCTTTCAGAAAATGGTTACAGGGATGTCTGTATTTTTTCCAAGTATAATTGGTGACTTTGGACTACAAAATAGCGTATTTATGCTGAGTTTTGTGCATCCTTAATAGTTCTACAAAAATGCAAAACCTATCAGCAGGCAAAATGAAGTCGTTGAAGAGTAGGAGTCAGACATCAGAGATCTAGTGCCCATGCATTTCTCTGTCACAGCCTTGTTTGAGATTATATAACTAGTCTGCAGGATAGGTGTCACCTGTATAAATTGTAGTGCAGAGAGCTGCACTTCTGCTCTGCCTAGATGCAGCCTGGTAGAGGTTTTGAGATTTTGAAGATGTGTAGCTGTGCTTGTTCAGTGTTTATCAACAAGTCTTATGGGAAAAAGGGTCACACCTGTGTGACTTGGCTCAGGGACAGCACGCTGTGGTAGTGGCTACAGAAATTTCATGTTTTGTGTCTGGCTACTTTGCAGCACATGTACATCTGGTACAGTAGACTGGCTCTTAATTTCTTTAAGCCTTTGTTTGTTCTTGTGAAAAGCAAATATTAGCATGTGTTTGCCACCCAGAAGGGTAATGCTAGCAATTCCAAAGATAGGAATTGCAGAATCGATAAGTAAATGAAGGGCATTTGTCTTAATTTGTTCAGTAGGTTATATTTTGGTATTGCGGAAAAAAAAAGATAAATTTCCCATTCAGAGGTCCAGTACTACGGCTGTCAACATCTAGTCTAATATTTTTTTCTGATTTAATGAGCCAGAGAAGAAATGTGCTATACAGTATATATACTAGTGTAATTTTTTTAAGAAACATGATTTGCAAATGGAGATTTCTAACAATACTTTGCCATAATCCCCCTCAATACAGGGCAGTCTTTTTTGACAGGTGTCTCACTGTTTTGTAGTTTTTTTAGTTTAAAAACAAATAGTCTGGGGCCTTAAGATTACCTATGGCTAAGCAAGAGAAGGTCAATGCCTGAGAAAGCTAAGTAGAAACAAATAAGCATGAACTCTCCAGAAAGGCATTGTGCAAGAGGAGAAGTGGACCCTTAAATTTAGCACTCAATTTGTCTTGTGATATCCTAAATGCTTACATGGTCAACTGCATGCTCTGGTAAAAAAGCTACTCGCTCCCATTCCAGAAACCACATGGAACCTCTGCCTGCTTTGAATCAAATGCAGGATCAGACTGTGCACACTGAGGTCAACTTTACTGTAACAGCCACAGCACAGAATTGCAACAGACCACATGAATTAACTGAAAATTTCATTCTTAGGAAAGAAAGGCTCACTTGTTGCTTAAATACTGTGCTGAAAGAGGAAAGTTGCACACACACACACACACACACACAGACTCTCTCTATTGCAGCAATGGCGAACTTAGGTTTTTAGCAGTCTCCTGCTACTTTTCCAGATATTCTCTGTCACTTGAATGAGCAGCCCTTTCTTCAAACTAACATTTACTAATTCTGAATTTTAGCTAGAAAAAGTTTATGATCCCAAGAATGAAGAGGATGACATGGTTGAAATGGAAGAAGAAAGGCTGAGAATGAGAGAACATGTAATGAATGAGGTGGGGACTGATATTCATTAGAGCTTATTTCCTTCTGTGTTCAAGAAATACAGTTCTGCCATGAAGTGTTGTCCAAGTGCAGCAGAAAGGGATGACCTGTCACACTGCATTCTGTTTGTGCAGGGATTCACATAAAGTAACAATTCTCAGGCCCCATCCCCGTATTCTGATGTAAATGCCTGCTGACTAGGTCTTGTTTAAGAAGTTCCAGGAAAGGAATTGTCCAGCAGCCTCTGTCTCTTGCAGATACTGAGATTCAATAGAAATTCCCTGTGAATTGTGTGAAACAGGGAAGAACTCTAAATGTTCTTTGGTACTTGGCAGATGGTTAAGATTCTGGTGTGTAGAGCAAGGGCTTCTTTCATACAGCTCACCTTTGTCTCCCTTCAGGAGAGAGCTCAGAGCTCAGGGTATCACCTATGACAGTGAATACCTTCACCAGGTCTGATGGGTTTTCAGCTCAGAAGACAGAGGAAAGGGAAGGGGATATTTTGAACCACTGTGTTCAAATTATAATAATTTTTATATTCTATAATTTTATAATAATAATAAAAATAATTGTTCTGTATTCAACTATATTCCTTAAGCTTGAGGAACAGAGCAAGCCTGGTCTTCTATTAGTCATAAAGGGAAGCATTTCCTCCCTTCCCCTTAAAGGATTCTGACACAATTCAGAACCTCACCATCTGACAGTGGATATAATTTTATGAGTCAGAGTAGTTACCAGAAAGCTACAAAACATTTTTCTCAAAAAAGTCATACCTTCCACTGTTAGTGTTGGGGCTGTGAACACAAGTGTTTCCAATAAAGCCAATGATTTTTGAAGTAAAATGTGAATATTTACTTTTTAATTCTATTTTTGTTAAGCTATATAAGCTTGTGAGAAGTTTTCAGAAGATGTTGCGGGCGATCCCTTGAAAATGGGACAATTTAACAATTAAAATGGTTATATTTGAGGATATTTGTTTGATGAAGTTAAATATTAGCTCCATCAAAACCCACACATTAGGTTAAGTTTAATTTTTTGCTTCAAATAGGTTGACATCAACAAGGACCGACTAGTGACTTTGGAAGAGTTCCTCAGAGCTACGGAGAAAAAAGAATTTTTGGAGCCAGACAGCTGGGAGGTAATGAGAATGTGTTCCAAGTACAACACAGAGTAGCATTACCAGCACTCCACCAGGAAACCGAATGGCATGTCTGTGACCTTTGCTTTTTTTCAGTTCTGTGTTGGTATGTGTGTCGTTAAGCGCCTTAGCTAAATGTAACCTACAAATGTAGCAGCCTAATGTAATGCAGATGTGAGCTTTATGGGCCTCTCACACACGGAAAAGGTCTGGCGCCACCCTGGGGATTCTAGAAGAGCTTTTCACACATGCTTTTCAAATGGAAAATGGACATTTTGTTTATGAATCACTTTAAAGGGAAGATAAGAGCTCAGCTGGAAGAATAAGGATAGTTTTCTCCTACCTCTAAATCTGTAGTAGAGTTTTGCTGACAAAATCGCTGAGAAATGACTCTTTTGCTGTTTGCTGAGAGTGTACTAACCCTTTACAGTGTCATGTCTGGGTATCTTGTTCTGGGTTTCTTTTAATTGAACTGGACAATTCAGATAAGAATTTCAGTGGGGAGATAATAAAAAATATACTTGTGTTCCTGGCTAAGTATTCACATTTGTATGTATTTTCTTGCAGACACTAGATCAACAGCAGCTCTTCACTGAGGATGAGCTGAAGGAATTTGAAAATCATATTTCCCAGCAGGAAGATGAACTTAGAAAGAAGGCAGAAGAACTTCAGAAACAGAAGGAAGAACTACAGAGGCAGCATGACCAGCTTCAGGCTCAGAAACAAGAGCTTCAGCAGGTACATGTATGAGAACAGAATATTTTTTTTTTCCTTTTCTGTATCCTTATATGTGTAACAGCTCATGACAGTTCCCAGCTCTGGAGCATTCTTTACCTTGATTTCTTGTATGAGTCCCAGCTGAAATCTAAACTGATGGTACCACAGCAAAACATAGTCTAGTATTCAGAATTACAGCAAACAACACAAGCATCTCAACTCAGCCATATACTCAACTAACCAAGACTTTACTTAACGACTGCAAAATTTGTTGTAAGTCTATTCATTTATGTCACATCAGAGAAAGCTGACAAATTTAAGTTTTTTGACTGTTGTATTTTATTTTTCACCAGGTCGTAAAACAGATGGAACAGAAGAAACTACAGCAAGGAAATCCTCCTGCAGGACCAGCTGGAGAACTGAAATTCCAACCCCGTATGTCTCTTTCTGATAGATACACAAGCTTTAAAATAACATTTGCAATGTAAAAGTCATTACAACTATATTTTCTGTTGGAACTATTAATCTAAAGCAATTTTAATGACCTCTGTAGAGAGGTTCACTAAACAGTCTTTAAGAGGGAAGTACATAACTCTTCTAAAGTATTCCTGAAATCTCAGTACTTTTAAATCCATAGTAAAGAAACAGCAACATGACATGACAACTTAGCCTTAAACAGTATGAAAGACCAATTGCTTCAACACCCTCAGAAGGTGGTAGTGGCGTAATAAATCATTGCATTTGCTCATTGGTGGCAACAAAACAGCCGGATATATATTAGCCCTTCTTGTCTGTAACAGCTTGCCCGAGTTACCTTTGTGCTTTAAAGGAGTTCTCTTGACATTCATTTCAAATACAGGCTTCAGATCTATCCAGGCAGCCTTTTGAATACTAGAAGCTCTTAACTGCCCCTGCAGGGCCACCAGTGGGACTTCAAACCTCAAGTGCTGTATTCAGTGATTACAGCTTTGTTGGTACCCTGAAATTCTACCCATTCAGTTCCATGAAGGGAAATGATGAAATTTCAGAACCACTTTAATTTTGTCTTTCATTTGCTTTGAATCAGCCTGTGGGAAATTTCATTTTACGATCCTTAGCTCTGAGAGCCTAAATTCCCCTCACCAGATGATACATTCTTTTGATACTGGCAGTATTGTAGCAGATACTGTTCTTAACATATGTATTATTTTATGTAAAATCTTTCTGCAAAGTCATTTAATCAGGTGCCATAAGAATTCATTATATTAGCTGGAACTGGTCACTACTCATTCACTGAGTCAAGGAGATCCAAGTAGACAATATTTTAAATCCATAGGCCACTGGAGTTACTAAGGATACTTTGAGGAAAAAAGAATCCCAAAAATGCAGCTGCAAGTTCATCAGACTATGAAAATGAGTATTATTCAAGCATAGGCAAAGGCAGAACTCTGTAAGTATTGATGCAGCAAGGAGCAACATATAGGGAGCAAGTTGTTAAGTATGTCTTTTTCAAGCTTCCCATGCTGGGATTAAAGGTCCCATAAAACCATGATATATTTCAGAAAAAACAATGTTGAAAGAATCAATGCCTTATGGTTTTAAAAATATTTCACAGAAAGCAGAAACAACTAGTAGTCTAAGAGGAAACACTGAATAATAATGCAGTCTATTGGGTAATCTTAATCTGATTTAATTGTTATTCACAGAGAAAATTCTTGATTCCATTTATAAACCAAAAAACAGAAGGTTTTGTTGATTGTTTCTATGATAGGAACCTTCCTTCAGAGACTTTTCACATCTGGGGCCAATTTAATTGAGAAGTTACAAATGGTTCTATTCTTGTTTTACAGCTGGGGAACACAAAATTGGAGATGCAGCAAAACATCCGGTAGGAGGTGATCAGCCTTTACCACCAGGACATGTCCAAGAACCAGCTGTTAGAACTGATCAAGTTCACCCTTAACCACTTGTGCCTCAACTTTATAGCATCTTTATTATTTGGGGTGGGAAAAGGGTGGGAGGGGCTTGGGGTGGGGTGGGCAGGAAATCAGAATGAAACAAGAACTCTCTGCTCTCTTCCTCAGACTGTAAAATCATGGGAATGTTAAAGTATCAGTCAGGTTTGATTTATAAATTAAACTAATTTTCTCTCCAATGCATCATTGAGAAACACAAGGGGATCATCTAGAGGCTATAATAGAGGAAGAAATTAGGGAAACCATTAATATTAAAGATTTTTATGGCCAGGGGACTGAGCTGTTGAACTCTGCTCTTACAAAGAGGGAAGAGATGTCTGCCATTCTGTGTTTAGGCATGAATCAGAATCTTCTCAGAGAGGAAAGAGGGAACAGGCCTGAATGTCTAGTTTTATGTAGAAACTTTCCAGAATGCTGAAAAGCAAGAGATAGGGAAACAAAGACCATATATAAAAGGCCTGCTTTTTCCACTGCTACCAAACCCTTTCTTCTTTGAGACCAAATAAAAATAAAACCTCTTAATCACAGAAAATTTGCACTTTCTAAAATTTAAACACAGCAAAGAATTATGTGGAACAGTGAATATTTTTCATGTTTACAGAAGCCTAAGAATTTCACTGTAAGCCTTCAAAAGGAATACTGTACTTGTAGTGCATTGATCTGAACCGTCCTCCTTGTTGAGACTAATTGTGTGTAGCAGTTGAAAGCTCAACTGGCTCTTTGGACAATACTTTTGTCCCCATTTCTTTCATCAGACGCCAGCTGATCTCAAAAATTTGCATGTTATTAAATAAGCTTTTTATGTTGATGGAAATATTGTGCAAAACAGAACAAGACTCATTGTCTTTTTCTGTACAGATTATCCTACCTCCTACAATAAAACCAGATTTTTCAAAGTGCACCATGTGCTTCAGAAAGCTCTTCTCAGACATGAATCTGGGACTCGTTAAGGGTCTCACTGTTAACTCTTGTGAGTTTTTCAGCAGTTGGTCTAAGTTTATGAAGTGTCCTAAACCGGGGTGCTACTTGATTGTATTATTTTGATATTGAACCAGGATAGGTCCCTAGTATTGCAAGCCAAGATTTTACAAGACTAAGTTGATTTTCCTGTCAGTTTTACTATAATGCTGAAAAGTTGTGTGTCTGTCCTTGCTTTTCATTTGTTTCAAACTGAAAGTATCCTGAAGTGTAAACTCTGTTTGGATTTCTTTGTTTGCTTGGGTTTTTGTGTGTGGGTTGTTTTTTTTTTTAACATGGATTGTTCTGATTGTATAATGCTGGCTTTGAATGGATACACACACACCTCAGCTAACATCCTTTACATTTCCTTCTTGTTCTGTGGCTAACTGCTGACAGTGGCATTAAAAGAGGTGTTTGGGTTTTGAGAAAAGAAACAGAAGCACGCCTCTGTTATGGAAAGATGTTCTTTTCAGAATAAGACTTGAATATTTTAGGCAAACTCAAAAAAGACAGAAGGCAAATGCTAACATTTTGTGTTGACATTTGGGAAGTTTCTCACTGAAGAACTGTGATTGATGGAAGCTAGGCACATTCCTTCCATGTTCAAGGCTTCTTTCATCAGACCTGGGCATATTCTTGTGCTCCACACGATATAACAGAACTCAGTGTGAGAACAGATTAGGGTTCCTTATCTTTTTCATCTTGTTAGTTGTCAGGTCACATTTCCTTCATTTATACCACTCAAACAGTTGGACTTCTTTTACCTTTTTTTTCATTCTTTATGCAAGTAGTTGACATTTTTAGTTTCCAAAACCACTGTCTCCTCTGTTTGTCACTTCCATGCAATTCTAACAACAGTTTGATTTTGTCTTTGTCAGGAGACTAAAATACCTTTCAACAGCTTCATCTGTTTGCAAAGAAGCCCAGACATAATAATGGCTACATAAAGTTTCGCCATGCACAGCCCTGGCTTTGAGGTTGTAGCCTGATAATGAGTAACAGGGTGAGGAGGGAAACAAAGAGGGAATTATTCAAATGTCATGGAAAAGGTGAGGGGAAATTTTGATATTGTTCTCCCTATCCCACATGAAAGTTTGCAGAGGACAAGTGATACAGACACAGATGTTTGTAGAGAATCAAGGACTGAAACCTTTGGTATGAAGGCTTTTTTACCATACAAATCATTCCTTCAGGCTGGATCTGCCTCCTAACAAATGCCATTATATGATCATGATATGCTTTGTAATGTAATGCTCAAGCTTCAGTTTTGGTGCAACCTCTTATGTTTTGATTTTAAGATCTTCAGTCTGCAGTTGGAGATTGGCCCCCTTATCCCATATACTTTGAAACAGCCAGAGTTTTGTAAAGAGTTGTTGGAACTTGGGTGCTGAACTTGCGAAGTAGAAAGCTATAATTGCGGATAAATAAGGGACTGGAATATCACTGGCACAAGTGCTTTCACCTGTATTCTGCTTTTCATTTAGGAGGTGATTACAAGAAAGCTGTGTCTAACTTTGTTATGCAAACACCAGTATCACCACAAAGATGCAGAGATTTGGTTTTGTACTTGGCTGGGATTTCAGTAGGAGGATGAAGGGGTAAAATTTCATCAATGTTGTACAAATTCATATCTCCAGTGCAATATATGTATTAAAAAAAAAAAAGCCCCACTCTGTACTTTGTATAGATTAGTTTTTAACTGGATTAAACTGAAACTCAGCACAGCGACAGATGTTTAGTGTTTTATTTTTAGCGGGTGGGCAAGAGGCAGATTTACCTCTATACAGCTTTGTATTCACAGAAACATAGAATGGCCTGGGATAGAAGAGACCCTAAAGATCATCTAGTTCCAATGCCACTGCCATGGATAGGGACACCACTGCCATGGATAGGGACACACTAGACCAGGTTACTCAGAGCTTCATCCAACCTGGCCTTGAACACTTCCAGGGATGGGGCATCCACAGCTCCTCTGGACAACCTGTTCCAGTGCCTCACCACCCTCATAGTAAAGAATTTCTTTTTAATATGTAATCTAAACCTACCCTTTTTTCAGTTTGAAGCCATTCCCCTTTGTCCTGTCACTACCTGCCCCTATAAAAAGGTCTTTCTCCATCCTTTTCATAGGCTCCCTTTAGGTACTGGAAGGCCACAATGAGGTCACCCCAAAGCCGCCTCTGCTGCTTAGAGGTCCTTCCTCTTTGCTCTCCATTTCCTGCTTTCTGGAAAGATGTGAATTTATAAAAAGAGGTAAGGGATCTTGTGTCTTCCCTGGCACCATCTGTCTCACTGCAATAGCTATTCACTAATTTGGTACTTGAATGCTCAGTTTTCTATATTCATAAATATATAAACCCAACTAATTAAAATGCTACTGCAACAGCATTACAAACTCTTAACACCACATGCTTCTTTGACTTGTTCAGATCCAAAACAGAAATCCTAGAGAAGGTGAAGCACTCATGTGCTTAGTAACCCATTTTTCTAGAGGTTACATTCTTTGGTTAGAGATTTTGCATTTGTAGCCAGGTGTTGGCCACTTCAGGATGTCAGAATGGCTGGGGCAAGGTGTCTGGTGAGATCCACAGGACATGATGCCATACCCAGGCACGTTAGACTTTTCCATCTTGTGAGTGTATCTTGATTAGGAAAAATATGTAGAGGGGCATTTTGCAAACAAGCAAAGCTCTGAACTATGGCTTGTCCCTTGATAATTTATGCAAAAGTAGGTAGCAGATGCCAAGAGCTGTCCCTGAGGTTGGCCCCAGCAGTACTTTCTTGTTTACATCCTGAAATATCTGTTACTGAAATCAAGAGATAGTCGCACCAAGATTGTGAAATTAGAGTCCCATCTAAAAAAACAGCACTACTGACTATAGTTTAGTTACATTTCTAAAAATCAGGGGTTTTTATTTTTACATTATGAGAAATAGGAATCTAGCTTGAGTCCTATTTTTTATGCATCCACAGATGCATATCAAAATCATATCAAATATCAAAACCATGTACAGTTACTCGAATGTTACCTAATACCATAAAAGCTACACTTACCAGATACACTTTGTATCTAATAGTAACAGTTTTTATAATTATACTATCAAATACTATGCTAAATGACAGCCCACATACTTGCTTGTGTGGTGAAGTACAATATCAGTGAGGGAAAGTAATTTTTTCAGAGATGTCCAAGTTTCTAGACCTGGTATGTCTTTCAGTGACAAAGGCAGGGATAGAGCAGCACTACAAAATTGACCTCTCCCCTCTTTGCCCCTTTTCTGTGAATTCAAGCATCTGTTGGTCTGAATGACTGCACAGTGACTGCTGTGCAAGCAATTTGTATCTACTCAAATGTGTATTTGCTTTGACACACAATAGCTCACAGCTGGTACCTCCTAAGAAACTGCCCACAGAGCCATTTCTGTGTTAAAGAAGGTGATGGTACACACAGTGTACAGAGTTTCTCCTCCAATATCTCATTTCACACCCTCTCATTATCTTATCATTGCTGTTAATAATACATTGAAGACTTCCATTTTTGTGCTTCCTATCACCAGGGACAGTGGAGAAAGTGGGATGAAGTGCAGGCAGCCCTCTAACTCCACTCTATTCATACCAAAGCTACCCCAGTTCACAAGTCCAGGGCCCACCTAGGAGAAGTGGATGAGTTATTCAGCTGTGGAGTAGAGTTCTCTGCTAACTTGTATGTATGGAAATTTCCAGTCACAGAAAGACACTACATACTTCAGCAGCCATGAGTGAAGTTCCTGAGCCCATGTTAATTCTAGAGGCTGTGCAGACCTTGCCAGTGCATTTAATACCATGGAGAAGTGATACAACATCTGTTAAAACACACAAGGATTTCTCAGCTAACAAGCATATACAGTTCCATACCATTTCTTCACTAGAGGGAGTCTAAGACAAGGATTACTGAGCACTTCCAAACTTAATAAAGGAGCAGAGGGGTGCCACAATACAACAGGATGTTGAAAACTGAATGATCCCTTAAAAGCTAAACAATATCTCCTATGTTTCAAAAGGGCTTTTATTTTTCTTTTACAAAAATGAATTTCTTACATTATAAACTGTTTCCTTTTGAAAGAGGCCCTGAAAGTGCAAACAGGCACTAAGCTAAGGATGCTTTTCCTGAACACAGACACCTCTGTACCATCCAAGGACTGTGCACCACAACTGGATAACAACAACGTGAGAACTACTTGGTGTTTAAAAACCCAAGGTGCTGACCAGGAAAAGCTACTATTTACATTTGTAGCTGGAAACCATAGTCCTCAAGTAGGATCCTATGTGGTAGTGAAATAAAAAAGGCAATGCTGTACCATTCCTGCCAAAAAAATACAGCTGGAAGAAACAGGATTATACAGGTGCCAGCTCATTGTCACTCCTGAGGCTGCTCAAGGAACAGCTTCTTTGGAGGTAGATGACAAGTTGGTTCATATTAGCTTCCCCCTTCCCTCAAGGGAATTCTAAAGCTGAAAGTTGCAGGTATTAGAGCCAACTTAGGGAAGCTGGTTCACTCAGTCTTAAGCTCCCAGGGCTATTCACCAATGAATAGCCAAGCAAAGTGATAAAGATAATTCTGTTAAATGCTGAACTGAGATAAAGGAACAGGGAGTTGTCATCCAGGCATGCCTTAAGTTTTTGCGGAGTTTCCACACATCTCTAGTTTAATTGTGTTCAATGTCATGCTGCTTACTACACATAAAGCCACAGCTCAATTTCAACCACAAAAGTAATATTTCTTAGTCTAAATAACCTCTTTCTATGCATTTTATTTTTAACAAGGAAAGAGGAAAATTATGTGCTGTAAATGTTCATAGATTTGTGTTCACTGAGGATTATAAAACTTAAAAAATCAGAGACACTATTCATAGTTTAAATAACTGTCTGTGTTTTAAATTTCTACGGCATTTTCAGAAAGAAAAAAGCCTGTCCTGATGAGTAGATTTAGTTCAATCTACAGGCAATGACAGTATCACCATAATAGTCTTTATTAATTTATCTATTAATTATTTACAGGTCCCCAGTTGCATTTCAGTTGGCTCAGTCTTTGTATTAACAGCTGCTTGTCTTTCGGTTGGGCTGACTGCTTTCCTGTACATTAAGCACTATCAACCACATCAGTGGTTTCCAGTGTCTAAATTTCAATTCTGATTGTATTACAGTTTCGACACTGAAAACTGTTCTTGCAAATGATTTTATTCTAAGGCTAATAAGGAGGGATCAGCGACTACAGCCAGCACTGGAATACTCCTTTTAGCACTACTGTGATCTGTAGCCCCAGCTCCCAAAAGCAACACTCACATGCTTTTGCTCCCATTTGCTTAAAAGCAAAGTTTTCCTTTGGTCCTTTGGCAGCTGCAGGCAGGCTGGAGATTGCTAAGCCATCTGTGCCTTTACGTGGCACTGCAGACCTGGGCCCTGCCGGCTTATGCATGTTTCATCACAGCTCATCTGTCAGTCTAGACATGTTCTCAATGTTTCAGATGTCCCTTGGGCTCCTCAGGACAAAGCCAGGGTGGCACTGAGTATGCACAGAGCATTTTTTAAAATATAAAGAAACAAAAACCCCCAAACAAATAAAAACCCCTCAGAACCAAATTGCAACACAGTAGTTATGAAACAGGGGAAAAACAGGGCTGGGACTAGATGCAATGTATTCACATGCTGCCACAAAGGACTGACTGAAAAGATGCAGTTTGACCCAGAAATTGCCTAATACACATCATTCTGCTCATGCCTGATGCATATGTGTCATCAGTAAATCTTCAAAGTGGTAACTCTCAAGTGTTTGATGAGGTGCTTTCTTCATTATTAAACACTAACAAACTTATGCATCTAAATAACCCATTTACAAACAAATCCACACAGAAGAAACCTTGGAGGCTGTCTGGTTGTGCCGACTGTACAGTCACATGTCTGCCATCAGTGGTGGACTAAACACTATTTAAATAATTGCAGCTCTTCAATCCAGAGAATGTAACTGCATGTTTTAAGTAATAAGGCAATAAAATACTTTTATGCACTATCATAGTCTAGTATCTAAACCTTTGTAAAGTGAAGAATCAATTCATGTTTATGAGTTGGAAAAAAAAAAAAGCTATCTCAAGCTTATTTCAGGCAGTCATTAGCACTGTGTAAATGCAGCTCACAGCTGTTCTCCTTGGTGCACAGCTCCTTAAGGCTGCCCTAAAACTGGCTGCAGTCTGTCCAGCACTTGGGGGTAAGTGTGCATCTAGAAACAAGTGAGTCCTTTTTTCCTTACAGTTCCTCAAAAACTAGTAGTGTTCAAATGAAGCATAGAAAAGAAGCATTGGGAAGAAGCAGTTTTGAATCACCAGCTTGTGGGCTTTCATCCCAACTATTAGTACTAAAGTTTTTATCCAAAGTATCCATATGAGAAGAATGTACAAATTTTCTTCTGTACCACACAAAGCAATGCTACAAGAGAAGATAAAGCAGCTCTGCTAAAGGACCAGGACAATCTAAAACCTTTTCAGTTTCGGGCGCACATAGAGGAGAACGGGACTTTCATGGCTCCACACACCATTCGTGTTTTTCCAAATGTATGTGAGCAGCACAGGGCAGAGCCTTCCACTGAAATCATTTATGACACTCTTGTATCATATATTTTTTATAAAGAAAGACAGAAGTAACATTCTCTTGAGTGGACAACACCACTGACTGTCAAAATGCTTTGCCATGAAGTG